ATCCATCCCTGTTTCAGCCTGACTACCTTTTGACTTCAGAAGAAAGCTTCTTCTCGTTTGCCTTGCTGAGGGTTGAGGAGCTCAACTGCGAACAATCCTACCTCATTGATCCAATCTTCATAATCATCTTCCAGTTCCAGATCCTCATTCACTTGAGGTCTCCTCAATAACCCATCTGGGCCTCTATGCTTCTCTGCCAGTATGTGTATCAGTTCAAACTTGAAGAGGAGTATACCAGCAATTCATTGATTGATGGTTGCATTCAGTTGCAGGTCAGGGTTATTGATCATACCCTTGATGTACTTGGTGTCAACTTCCACAGCTAAATCTTTAACTCCAAATATGTAGTTGCATACATCCTGAAGTGCATGAAATAGCCCGAACAACTCTAGCTTCACCTGGCTATAATGACTTTCCCTTTCATTGAATGCAATCAATCCAAACCTTGATGGATAATGCTTTGAATCTTCTCCAACCTGTAAAAGCAGGTAGCCTACTGCCATGTGCAAGGTATCAACAGCCAGAACCACTTGCCATCCCAACTTGTAACCTATTGGTTTTAACACTGGCAAGTTGGCAAGCACTTCCTTCAAGTCATCTGTCGCTGCTTTGTGTACCTTGTTGAATCTGAAGACTACTCCCTTCTTGGTCAATTCAATCAATGGTTTCACCCTTTTTGCATAGTCTCAGATGAAGATGTGACAGTAGCTGCAGAGGCCTAATAAGCCTCACACTTCTGTGATGTTCTTGCAGTAGGGCCAATCTCGAATCTTCTGTACTTTGGATTCATCAGGTATTTGGCCTTTGTATGAAACCTTGTGTCCCACTACAGTGATAGATGGGACTGCCACTGCAAATTTCTTTGCAGAGACAGTCACTCTGACATGCTCAAGGCACTGTAGAACTCAATTAGTATTGACAAGGTGCTCCCATACAAACCTCCTGATTCCTGAATTCCCTTCAATTGTTTCATATGTTCCATCTTCTTGCATGTGCCTCAATCGTGGTCCTTTTACTGGTATGTTGTCAATAAATGGCATGGTTACTTCTGGCATTTCCTCCCTGAGTGTAAATGACACATCCCCATGGAACACTTGTACTGTGCTCATATAGCCCATGGGGAGTTTGGTCAACCTGAACATGCTGATTGGCATTTGAAAGGTCATAAGGTTGCAATAGTCTTCATGGATCACTCGGTGGTCATAACCAACCATAAGGTTGTACATGCTATATACTGCATGTCCTGCAAATTCTTCGGCAATACTGTCTATGTGTGGGGGAACTCCTGAATCCTGAATTGAGACTGCATTGAGTGGCTGTAAGTCATGGACCAGCTGCAGCGATTTCCCATCCTTCTTCACTGTACAAAACCATCTCGATTGATAAGATGAAGTCAACAGTTCATAAACTCCTGCCATGATCTTCTCCTTGATTATTTGCATGACATCCCCATAGATTACCAGTGGAATGGGAATATTCCAATATACCTGTGGTTTGTGCAGGACTGTTGGAATCTTAAGAGGTGGGAACATATCCTCTCTGAACATCCCCCTTTCACTTGTGTCCCAAGCAAAAGCCTTCTCATGGATTCACACTAGCCACTTGACTAGTTTAAGTTCTTTGGGCCATAAAAATCCACCTGGGTTCCATTCAAACTTGTCTGCTCACTCCTGGGTAAGACGTTTCCCAGGTGTGAACTCTGGGGGGTTAACTGGTATCTGGGGGAGGTTAGCCAATGGGTCCCCCACTTCCCTCCTCTCAACTCTAAACTCTGCTGGTGTCTCTGTCACTACCAACCAAACCTTCTTCACCATGGGTTTGTACTTCATCACTTGCTGTATCCATTCTTCCTCATCCTGTAGCTTGGTGGTCAGACTCTCTACCAAATAAGATTCAAAATGTAAACCCAAGGACTTGAAGTCCTCCTCTGTCATTGTGAATATCATCTTGTAACCTTTTGGTTTTGCCCCTGGGCATTCAATCTCTGTTTCTTCACTTCAACCTTCTTCCTTGATGCTTCAATCCATTCCTCCTTCTTCATGTCCCTTATGAAAAGGTTCATCTCCTTGATACTGTCCTGTGTCTCTATGACAAACATCTTGTGATTCAATTTTTATACCTGCAGGAAAAGTCAGTGCATTATTCGTGCTCGATCTAAATGAACATACTCCTTCTGCAAAACTGCATCCCTAAACTGAGGGAACTGTGTGAGGGACCTTCTAGGTCTCAGTGAGATTTGGATTCTCTTGTCTGTCTCTGGATCCATAAACTCAAGAGTCTGCTGCCATCCTAGCCTGAATCATGCATAGGAATGGCCTGCCCAGGAGGATATCAAAGGGGGCTGACTTGACTACTTGAATCAGCACTTGCACTTCTGCTGGACCAATCCTGAGCAAAGCATCTTGCACCAGGCCCAGCATTTTGTCCTTCAACTGGTTCATGGCTTCCATAATGATTTGGCTATCTCTCTTGATGGGAAGATGCAGAACTTCAGCTATTTCCTGTTGCAAAACCACTATCTGCGAACCACTGTCAAGGATCCCTTCTAGCATGACCTTCCTGGCCAGCTTGACCTCTACCATCGTAAGTGGCATCGAATCTGTCTGCATGAACCTCTCTTCTCCTATACCACACTCTAAAGCCCTCACATCATTTGACTGTGCTGACCCTTCCAGCATTCCCAACATGCCTGAGAAGGTAACACCAAGCACTACTCGTTTCGTCATTGCTTGGTCTTTGAACTCCCTCTGTATGTCTGGGCCTTATGGTGAGTAGTTCCCTTCCTGAAACAGTGACCAATAGGTCCAGGTACCTGTTGAATGCCCTCACTGCCACTGCAGGGTCTTCAAACAGGCTTGTGTACCAGTAACCTTTCTTTCCCATGTCATGATCTTCTGTGCCATGCTGTTGGGACTTTGGTATGGAGGTAGGTCCTTGTGACCCACCAGCACTTCTGTCCAGTTGCTTTCCTTTATCCTTCGAACTTGCTTTGGGAGCATCTGTTGAACCAGACTGACTAGGTACTGCCTGCTCTGCTGTCATGGTTGCTGTACGTCTCTCTTTTCCAGGTACAGCTACTCCATCAAACTTTGGGGCCTTTTGCTGCAGCTTATTTTCTTCCCTTCATGCTATTGCAAACACTTGCTCCACTTCAGCCATTTGTGCTTCATACTCTGTTTCCAAAATGACCTCTTCAGCCATGTCCTCTTCTTCTGAAGCATACTCTTCAATCCTAGCTCTCTCGATGTATTGGAAGGCATTGTGCACTGCTATGAACATATTTGCATTTGTTGGAGGTTCTTCTTCACACTTGATATGAACAATGGGTGCTTGCTGCTCTTCTCTCCTCCTCCTGTCTCTTGCCATCCACTCATCTATCAGCTGGTACATTGGCTCATTCATTTGAGGAACATGTGTGCCATCGTTGAACTTTGCCCTATCATCTTAGATGATACACCTGTTAGCTGTGTGATACCTATCCAACATGCAACAAGTCCTTGTGCAGTGTCCTTGAAGGAAACATACAAAGCAGATTATTTCTTGAGGCAGCTCATGTGCTCCTTTGACAACATTTCTGGCTGGTACAGGCATTGCCCTTCATTGGGCCTGTGCATCCACCTGAACCTGAGGCTGCCTCTGGACTAACTTGCACTGCTATCCTCCTGGCTTCCTTCCTGGGCAATAACTGAATGATGCCCCTCCTTGCAGCATGGCTTCTCATCATATGGTACCTGTGCCTCAGCAACTCTTTTATTTCTCATATGACCTTGTTCATAGGCCAGGGGTCATCTGAATCACATAAACCATTTCTAAATTTCAAATTCTCAAGTGTATCTTTCTGAAGTTCCAGGTCTAAGCCCTCCCAGAAGTAACTGTTGTAGTCTTCTTGGGTGAGCTTGTAGCATCTGTTGAGATAGCCTGCAATGGTCTCATACTGCCAAAGGTACTCTCCAAGGTCCTCTTCCATCGGTATAATCTTCCTGGACTGTGCTCAAACTGAGATCAACCAGGTCCACTTTAATGTATCTCTTCTCTCATTCTCCTGCACCTGGGTACACATTCACCAGTACTTCCACAAACTTGTCCCATCTACCTGTTGTCTCTTCCACAAGTTGTGTCCACAAGTTTGCCATATCATTGTCCAAGTACCATATAGCCCACTTTGGCCACTCATACTTGTCCATACACCCTGCCTTCTTACACAGGTGATGAATTTCTTCCAGATAATGAACCAGATCAGCTGTTTTCCTGGAGAACTTGGGAAATTTGTCCAAAGACCTAGAGTGCATTTTCTCAAGTGGCTTGGGTTTGTCAGATGAGAGGGCACCTTGTCCAAGAAGCCTAAGGATATGTTGCCCTTCAAATAGTTCTTCTGGCTGGGCCACTCTCCTCCTTGGCTCCCATACTTCCATAGATGGAGATCTATACCTCGAGTGACATTCTTTCTCATGCCTTTTCTCCTTGCACCTGTAATACCTTCTTCTTTCCTCTTCCTCGCTCCAGTCACTCAATGAACTGTCCGTGGAGTAGGACCTCCTATGGTGTCTACTTCTCAACTTGTCTGATCTTCTATGTCCATGGTGACAGGACTTTGACCTGTGCCTTGTTCTGTAACTTGACCTGGAAGTTGATCTGTACCTGTGCTTGTGTCTTGACCTTGACCTTGAGGATGACCTCTCCCCATGTCCCAACCTATGTCTCAACCTTGACCTCAAGGATGACCTCTCCCTACATCCTGACCTATGTCTGGACCTCGACCTTGAGGACAACCTCTCCCTATGTCCCAACCTATGTCTTGACCTCACCCTCGTCCTTGTCCTCAAGGGTGACCTTTCTCTAGTCCACCCTTGGTGGACTGCAACATTTGGGTCATTGACATAGATTCTATCTGGTGGCTGCTCTGTCGCCCTTTCCTTTCCTTTGTCCCAGTAAGTTGTAAGCAGCAGTAATGCTTCTTCCTTTTCCTTCTTAGGCATCACAAACTTCGACAAGCTTGCTGGTCACCCATTGTCCCAGATCACTTCATACATGTCTTCTAAGCCAGTAGTGTCGACTTTCACTCCTGTAAACATAGGAATGGAAAATGGAATGTCTTTGGGCTCCTCTATGAATACTGTGAGGGGTAATTCTGTGAGCAGTGAAGGTGGTTCTTGTAGGAGTTTCATGGCTTCTTCTGTTGAACTGAAGGATGTTTCTGAGTTTGATCTGATAACTGGCACCAGTGTTTGGTATTCTGTAAAGCTGGGTTCTTGGTTCTGTTTTGGCTCTTCCGGTTCTGGGGATTCTGGAAGAGGAACTTCAGTGGGGAGCTTCCCAAGAGATGACTTAGCTAAATGGGGAGGTGTTGCTTTCTTCCTTGCTTTGAGCACCTCTTTCACTTTCTTATGTCTGTCCTTGTGGGCAACCCTAGCTGCTGTTCACCTAAGGTTGTACTTTACTTCCTGTTTGTCTGTTGAAGCCCCTCATGGTGGGCTCCAAGTGTAAGAAAGTGTTTTCTGATGGCCAAGAACTCCAACTCTGGAAGAGGTAGGTTCTGCTCAAGTTGGGTTGACCCTGAAGGGGCCTCAGTCTGGATGCAGGGTAAGTACTTTAGATGAATGCAAAGGGAACTTGCCTGACAAAATATTTCTTGACTCTAAAGAAGAACCTTGGCAGAAAGGAGCTGAAGTAGTGAATTTTGCTCTCCAAAGCAAGACACAGAGTAGATGGTGATGACTAGCACTGTATTCTTGTCTGTGCTGTACCATAGTTTCTAAGTGTACATGGCATGTGCTGTGACCACCCTACATGCTTAGTCAGCTCTCTATTTTTGAACACCAAATCCTTTTCAGCCACAACCCCTAAGCCTGAATCCTCCTTGACTCTCTCTTACACTCTTCACCCTCAAACCTTCCCTTTGACCCAACAGAAGTGTGACTTCTCATAGAGAAAAGGTTTGCATTCCCTACAGTGGGACAATGGCACTGATATTGTTAGATTATGCAAAATGCACTAAGGGGAATTAGCTGCATTTGATCATGGAAGCTAACCTCATCATCTTGGTGTCTGAGGTATGCATGGTAGCACACTGGGAGGGGAGGAGTATAACTGGCATGTGACACTGTCACCAGAATCAAGCTATTAAGCTGATTCTGAAGGAATATGTATCAGTCCTGCATTGTGAAAAATTGATGTAAAACCTACCAAGTCCATTGCTAGGTTTGCAAACCAATGTGCAGGCCATCCTGTGATATTGGCAGTCTGCTTCAGATGTACAGAGGCCACCTCAATCTGGTATGCCAAGTAGAGGATACCCATCTCTACCACAGACTGGCAAGATGGGTGTGATTGGCTGGCAATGAATGGCTCAGGACAATTTTCAAAGGTGGAATGTGGATATCGAATGACTTCCATCAAATCGAGCATATTGACAAGTTGAAGGCCCTGAGAGGCAGCACCATACTGGTCCCTTGCAGCTGTGCCCAATTCTCTTGCAATGGCATTCACAGCCCACACAAGGTGCCTATTGAGGGTGGGATCAAACAGCATGGTGCTGGGAGCAGCATTTCCATGGTAGCAAGATACTGCAGCATGTAAGGTGCACAGCAGGACTAAAATTATCAATGTCAATGGTGTATCAGAGTAAGCTCATGCCCATACCTTGATTGCAATGTGGAACAGGTGCCAATCCCCACTGTTCCATTTGAAGAGATTGCTGTTTGGATGGAAGTTCACCTACATACAGTGGCTCACAAAATTGTCCCAATGTTTGCATGTTTTTCATTAATCATGGTGTAGCAAGTGAACTATCATTATTGAGTCCAAGGTGTTGGTGGATGGATCAAAGCAGCTGGTCATGGCTCTCTGATGAGCCATATTACATAATAATTGGCTTGTTCATGATAGGATGAATGCCAGATTGGACCTCCACATCATTTTCAGCTTTCACAGTACTGATTAGTTCCAGGACACATGGAGCATTGGTGGGGAAACAGTGCAGGAGATGACTGCCAGCAGGTTTCTGAATTGATCAATGGTGCTGATAGCATATTCTATTGATTATACTATAGTGTACAACAGAATTTGCTGAGGTTGCCCTGAGGGAATGTCCCTGATGAGCCAGAATGGTGATTTCTTGACTTGTGTTACAACAAGGAGGCTTAGTGGTGCAAAATCACTGTTTGGCATTGTTTGTTTGTTGAAAAATCATTCAGTAGACCATATGATACATTATGTAAGCATTGGTGAGCATCTCACCATGTTTTATATGTGTTCCCAAGGACTACATCCCCAGTATATCACAAAGTTACATAATTGTCCCAATGAGCTCTCATTTTCATTTGGGTATTCTGTCATCAGTTTCTATCCAAATATTATGTAATGGCTCATCAGAGAGCCATGACCAGCTGCTTTGATCCATCCACCAACACCTTGGACTCAATAATGATATTTCACTGCTACACCATGATTAATGAAAAACATGCAAACATTGGGACAATTTTGTGAGCCACTGTAATTGATGGATATCACTGATCACATGAATGGAACACATGAAATAAATACTTGCCATTGCATATTTCTTCCAAGGGATCCCTCATCTCTGATTTCTCAGGCATGCCAAAAGTCAAAGGATTTACCCTGTTGTCTTCATCCACTGCCAAGTCAAAAGATTCAACAGGTACATTTGGAATGAGTGGGGGAGGTGTTGGTTCCCTCATATCCTGCAATTGAACAAGCAGGTTAGTTGGAGAATCAGGTCAAGGAGATTGGTCCCTTGGATTTGATGATTCGCAGGTGATGGGCAGAGGAGATGGTTCCCATGCATTGTGCAAGTCTGCCAGAAAATTGACCTGCATAGTAATGTCTTGTGCAGGTGTTGAAGACCCATCCATCCTATTTAATTTCTCATCTGTGACTGGCAGTGATGATGGTTCCCATGCATTCAGCAATTGTGCAAGTAGATCCACATTCATACCATCCACTGGGGGAGCAGTTGGTTCCTGTTCATTCAGGAACCAATTCACCAAGTTGTCATGTTGATCTATTAATAGAAAATTTGTTTGTTTGTTAGCTTGAAGGGAAATCATGCCAACTCACCACCCATGATTCTGTCCTCTGCCAGAGCAGTTGGCTCCCTTTCCAGCAGGAACTGATCCAGCAAGCTTTTGCATGAATCTATAGCAAAAATATGTTTGTGGTTGAGCTTGGAGAGAAATCATGCCCACTCACCAGCTGTGATATCCATGTTTGACCCCACCATATCTGCCTTTCCACTTGAGACAATTGGTGGAGGGGTTGGCTCATGCAACTCATGCAGTTGTACTAGCATCTCCTCCAGATTTTTGGACCATTTCACATGGGAGCTAGATTGCCTTGGCTCAATTGGTCTTACATTTGCTGTGGATGGCTTAGGTTGCTGGATCCAACAATGAAGACAACCTCACCTTGACAGCAGAAATGAACTTGGTGGGACTGTTCAGTGGACATATTTGATGACAATGGGTTCACTGATAGCTTGATGATCAATCAAGATTTAAACTTGTAGGAACAATGGTGAGAATATCATTCACACCGTGGGAAGCAAGGTTGGACAATGGCAGACATAGCCAAATTTTGGGTAACAGCAATACACAGGAGATGAGCAGCAATATCTCCCTACGTAGATAGCTACCAGTCACTTCCACATGGCCAATATGTACACCTGTCCCACTCAGCTCTCTGCTCAATTGTCCCACTCAACCCTCCCACTTAACTATCCCTCTCCTGATATCAAAGATGCCTCTCACAACCATCATGGTGTCATGAGCTACCATACATGCCATACACTTGTATTGTAAGTGTAAAACTAGGCCAAGCCCTCTATAGACCATACATGAGTTCCAAAAAATATTTCCACTCTGACTGTTTGAGGGATTCAACAACTACTCCTGCTTCCAATTGCTGCCTGTTTGCTTCCATGATCTCATTGCATCAGGAGATGGAACATCTGCATCTGGCCTTGCAGGGGCCTTTCTGACATGAGGTGACTTCCAGGTGCCCGAAGGGACACCCTGTTTCACATTTGCAGATGCTGCATTGGTGGTCATGGATCCGTTATTGTTGGACTTGGATGAGTATTTGGCCCCAGGTCAATGTTGATTCATTTCTGGCTCACTCGAATCCAACAGAGCCTGCTTAACACACAGCACAAACTTGTTAGCCATAACAGCTGATTCAACATGTCTGAACTTGCCTTGTGTGTGCACTTCAGGGTGGATTTCAGCTTTCTGCCTTTTTTTCTGCTCATTAACCCCTCAGTTGGGTGGTCAGTGAAAGGAATGCTCTCCAATCCATCTTCATCTGCATATTCTGAGTGGTCCCATAGTTCACTTGTGTACTCACTCCCTGAGTGCAGATCAGGGTTTGCTGCAGATACAAGTTACAGCAGGAAGCTCACTATTCAGGGATGTTGCTGATTTCTTTGAATTGGATAGGGTGGGCAAATAAGCATCTTCATCAGCTTCATCATCAGAATCATGGCCATTGCTTTCCCTCCCATTATTGTCAGTTAGTGCTTTATTTCATGGATGCTGCACTGGGGTCTTTGCATGGGCTGGAGGTGCAGAGAGCTGCTTACTATTGGAACCATCAGCTGGTGGGGGATTTGAGTGGGAATGAGAAGGGAATGGTGTCTTGGCATGGTTTTGCCTCCCACCAGATACCTGAAGACTGGAATTGCACTAGCACTGATCTGTCACACATGAATATCACACATGGTGCACCTTTTTAGGGGAGGGATCATCTGTTCCAACATCACTCACCTCAGCCTTGCTGTGATCATCTGAACTGTCATCCACACTGTCATCTGCACTATCATCTGCACTATCATCCACACTGTCATCTGCTACTCCCTCTTCCTGTGCTTTATCCTTGCCCTTGACATTTTCCCTTCCAGGATTCTTTTTGCATTTGGGGGCTGGTTCCTTTTGGTATTTCTGCTGCCTCATGACCTGGAGGGGTACCAAAGTTCTATCCACTGGTGGCTGCAGCTCACCAGATCAATTGATCCATTTCTGAAATCCAAAAACATCATTTGGATGGGATTCCTGTCACTTGTGCCAAAAGGACAGCAGCTGGGTAGCTGTTGTCATCCACATGTGACTTGGGTCATGGTTGAAGGTAAATCCTTCAGGAAGATGGCAGGCTGCTATCATTTCTGCTTGACAATGACCAAAATTCTTGAACAGCACTGCTGACAAGGGATTCCCACATGCTAATCCTGATAGCACTTGTCAGAGATTGAGGACACTAAATACTCTGGCCACTCATGGTAGTGTGCAGTCACAAATCCATGAACCATTTTTTGTAGTTGGTCCTGGCTAAGGCCCACAATTTCTCCTATCCAAATCTTTCCATTGGCATATTTCACCAATTTCATGGAGTCAACCATGCCCATCCTCATTGCTTTGGCTGCTATCTTTTTCTGAGCACATTTGGGACTTGACTTGACATCATGCTTGGGCAGTGTTCCTGGTTCCTCAAATGTTTCCCCAAGGTACTCTCCTCAGCTTCCTTCCAGTGTGTGGACATCATTGAAGGGGCTCCCATCCATGATTTCATTATTGAAGTCCATACTGGCATGGCATGAGTCTTACCTAGGCCTAGAGGAGAATATGGTGGACTCACATGCATGCCTGTATAGTTCCCTCCTCATTTTTCCACCCAGCCATACACACTATGCACATTCCACAATACCTCCACATCTCCATCACAAAGTTTCAGACATACTTGTACCCATACTTGGCTGCATTCCTGGGAACCAGGATAAATTGAAGACTGGGAAGTTGACCTCATACAATCACACCTTGCTTTTGTCTCTGGCATGGGGCCTTCCCACCCATTCCACCTTTCTGCTATATCTTCAGCTGCAGCCAATTGTTCCTCTGTCAGGTCACCCTGAATAAACACCATCAATGCATTCTGATACTGTTGGATCTGCTTGCTTCCATGGGTATTGCCTTCTTCTACTTACATTTTTGCAAGCTTCTCCTGTATTTGGCCTTGGTACAATTTGCAGACCACTGCCTGCTGTGAGTCAAAGTGTGGAAAGGTGGTATAAACCAACCAAAACCAACACCAAAGACAAATAATGGGCAAGTGGTGGTGTACCTCTGTGGAACCTGGAGAGCAGAAGAGATCTAGTGTGGGGGAATTTCAATGGCAGGTGCTCCTAGCACAAGTTGATGATGAGTTACACAAGAGCAGATGAATGAGTGATGACTAAATGGGGGATGCTGAACAGACTGAAGGTGTTTGGCCAAAAGTACTCTGGCATGATGATCTTTAGGATGTGCTCCTGGCACAAGTCAACATTGAGTTATGCAGGAGTGGATGGATGACTAAGCAGGTGTGCTGACAAAGCACAGATGATACTTCAGATAGTGAATGAAGGTAGATAGACCCTTTATGGAGCCTCAACTACCTAGGATGATGAATGGGGATGGTTAGACTCTTCCGAATGAGCCTCAACTGTTGACAACAAGATATGCACTGAACTGACTTCTGGACTG